AACCTTACAGTGGCAAATGGCAGAACTGCCTCCATCTGTGCACATATACACACATTACAGCTAACCACAATGAAGATACTGCTTTGTTTCTCATGCTTGTATCTTAGAATTGACATAAACAAGTTAACACATTCTCACCTATCAAGAACTTAATGCTGAAAAATCCTATAGAAGCAGAAGTTTCTGCTTACTTGAATGCAAATCACAAAGACCCCACACTGAGAAACAGAATCCTAAAGCAAGTGCAGCTGTAGATCATAAAAATCAGAAATTAAGAACTTTACTTGAGAAAATAAACACGCCTTTCTAAAAGTAATACTAATAACTTTACCAGAGGATAAATACAATTTATGCAGTGACAGCAATAAAAAATGACAACGTTCAGACAGGATACTCCATGAGGATACATATCTCCTCTACATTTCACCAGCCAATCTCTTTCACATAAGACTAGCTGTACATTTAAAAATATATATATATAGCTTTTTATAAAATTTGTATCTACAAATGCCATTACTGAGAGAACTGAATGCTTAAAATGAAAGCACTTAAATTTGCATAACTGCCTTCAATAGCATTTAAATCACCACTAGAAAGTCCTAGAGCAATTTCCCAATTATGCTCAGTCAGCAGTTTCGCATCTCTAGGGACAGTCAGCTAGAAGTTGAGTTACCATTTCCTTTGGGAAGTATGCTTACCTTTCTACACATCAATTAAGCTTCTAAATCTAAAAACATGGGGGAACAAAAAAAGAAAAACATTACACAAACTGGTATTTACTATCAGATGTAATGCGTAAGCAGCAAGATGACTTTCACTTTCTCACCTGTTGGTATGTTAGAATTAACAGAGAGAGAAGGCAAATACATGATTTGGAAACAGTGTAAAGAAAGCAAGTTAAAGCAGAGCTGATGACTCCCAGAGGAAACAAACCACAGACACATAAAAGAGCAGTCAATATTCATTATACAAATATTTATATACATTTAATTTGTTCATTAGAAACTGAAATGAGGAATAATAATGTTTTCCATTGTGCTCTGCCAAAATAAAAAATAAGTAATACTTTTCATTTACAAACATATGCCATGCCCTATTTCCTTTCCTCAAGCCAATCTGTTTTTTAGTACTGTTTTTTAGATTCATGGTTAAAAACAGAAGTTATGGGTTTGGTCCCACAAAGTGAAATCCACACATATATCCAACCATGAAGCAGTTCTTCAGCACTTAGCCCTCTTTACAAATGGACACTGTTATTTATAAACTAAAAATACAAATCACCATACATCACTGGATTTTTACATTTTAAAAAGACCATTAAAAATGCAATGTGTTGGCTTCAAGTGCAGCAATCCTTGCTCCTTTATTAAGCTTCCTCATGGCAGAGCATAACAGAATCTCCAGTTTATATTCCCACACAACCGTGCTCTCCTTCCATGAATTCTGACAGGAACTGCCACCCCCTTCCTCCACAGAACTAATCGACAACCAAACATTTTAATCTTTCTTTGTCCCAGTGTTACACTACTGAGGCAGATTAGATTTTTCTAATTTATTTCACACTTAACATTTAAATTAGAGCATAGCTGGCTGAAATATTACAACTTAAATGAATGTGTAACTTAAAGATCAAATTCTATCCTCAACAGATTTACATAAAAGGACAGAAAGGATAACATTTGTCTACCAGCATGTTATGTGGATCTCTTAACTCAATTTACTATGGATTTCATGGTGCAAGAATTAATGCCCCTCCAGGAACTGAAGTCATTGCCAATTACTTCTTCCACACCTACAACATAATCCTATTTCCCTGCAACTAGTGGAAGTTTTGCCACTCGCCTGAAGGCAAGTTTGTTCCTTGATTTGCTGCTCTAGCAAATGGTACTCGAGCTAAACGATGTCATAGATGTGGGCTTCTTTCTAATAGGAAAATAACATTAAGAACCAGTGTCACGTAATTTATTCCCTGCTAAAATTGTGATCCCCATACATATTGATAATTTTAACTATGCAAAAAGTTGCCAACAGAATTATGTTTGTCAACATGAACTTCTTGTATAAATTTTAGCAACAACAAGCATAGATTGTTTTTTGCGTTCTGCCTTCTTTCTTTAGACAATTCCCTAAAAACCAAAATCAATGTCCTACAGGTCAAAGCTCCTTCTTTTATATCTTCTCAAGTCTCTTTTTTGTTACAGCCCTGCCCAACAGGCTGATGCAGACCAACACTGTCAGATGTACTCTCACTCTAAATGGATTCCCATACATATAGAAACACTTTTAAGAATTACCTAAACAAGAAAATGCGTATCTGCCGGCCTACAGATAGATTTGTTTTTATTTTTTGACTTGTTAAAATTACGTTACTGCTGTGTTGCATGGCAGACTCACTCACACAAAAGAGGAAGCCAGATGCTAGATGATCTTGTGATGTTAGGCTGTATGTTCACATGGGGACTCCACCACTCATCCACTTCCCTACGGAAACACACATGTAACTGGTGTGCAACCTATGCCATCACTCTGCAGTAATTACTATTTTCCATTTTAACCTGTTGGTTTTTTGTTTTTTTTTTTACCTGTCCTTAACAAACATTTAAAAGTCTATGTTATGTGCCACCATGGCAAACAGAAGTCTGCTGCTATAGTTTCATACCATGGACCACAATGCCAGCAGGGAGCACGCAAACTGTCCTACCATGTAACAAATTGGTGGATCAAAGCAGCACAGATCCCTCTCACTAAATGAACGTGCACACTGGCTCCTTTCACAGCTGAATCTGTTCCTTCAAAAGGAGAGGGCCAGTGCCACAGATGATACTTCCAGGAGTTGCAAAATTACCATGTGCCAAAGTTTGTTAACACTGGAGCCCAGAAGCTTTTGTGGTTTTCTTTCTTTCTTTCTTTTAAATAAGTTTTTAAACATTTATTGCCCTTTACTCGCAGCTCATGTCTATCTTCCTTCTTTTGATTCTTGTGATCAATTAATAACTAAACGATTATTTCCACATACCAGCATCAAAACTATGTTTTCACCCTTCTGGCACTTTCTATCAAGCTCTGAATGTTTCTTTGTGTTTCTACCAACTTCATGACTCTCAAAAACACAATGTGCTAAAGACCAGGGCTGGGTCAGAGGGTATTAACTCCACACTCCTGTAACTGCCAGAAACCCAACTGCCTAGCTGTAAGGAGAGCCCAACAAAATTGTTGTTTTGTTTTGTTTTGGTCAAGTGAATCAATTAACACTCTAATCAGGTATTTCTAATTTAGCACAGAATGACTTCTAAAAATGGATAGAGAATAACAGAATGCAAAGAACAAGAGTAACACTTCCTTCTCCAAAAGGAGAAAAGTAATAATTTAAACAAACTAACCATATCAAGAAGTCTAGTTAGTACCGAAAACTGGGGATGAATGTTTTTTAAAGTTTCATTTTCTACCCACTAAGATGGGAGAGTTGTTTTCATTGCAAACTGTGATGGGGATCAGAAACAGACTATTAAAAGAAATGTGGTGTTGCTGCATGAAAAACTAACAATTTCAAAAAGGGTAGACAAAAAATGCACACAATAAGGAGTTGTTCATTAAATATAAGAGACTACATCACCTTCTTGACCACGAGATCCATTAGCTTGGTTTGAGGCTTACCAGTCTGAGCATTTAGAATAAACTATGCAAAACAAGAAACGGGCAGGAGGGTGCTCTGCTCCCGTCCGTTCTTGCCACAGGCAAGCAAAGTTCTGGGAAGGACTGCAGTCCTTTCAGTAATGCTGTCACTGTTCAGATGCAGTGCTTTACAGCTCCACCTCTTTCCCCCAAGCCTGCAGCAGAAGTTGTCCCTTCTGAAATACGGTACGCGATACTGCTCAGCCCTTCCATTCACATACTGTACTGCACCTAGAGCTGCAGTCACTTATCCTCAGCTGGACAGGTAAGGCAAACGCATCACTTCCAGCAGAATGAAATCGGTGATGGGCAGAAGAGCTGCTTCCCAGCACGCTCACGGAACTGCCCGCGCGCAAGGCTCAGCTTCACACCTCTGCCCAACGGCTGAAGGGCCTCATTGTGCACGGCTACCTTTTGTCATGCAAACAAAACCAAAATAAAAACAGAACGGCCAGCCACTTCACACAGTATGTTTGTCTTAACAATTTAGACTTCGTTTTAACTTTCTCTAAAAGTTTAGGAAATATTTAAGTCAGTGACACAGCGTGTTTAAATGAACAAAGAAGATAAAAACGGTGGTTTCCTGTCGATCCGAGGGTGCGCACTGCCGTAGTAAAACATGTCCTCGAGGACAGACAGAAACAATCCTGCAAATTGCTCTCACTCAATAAATATTGTTCCTTGTTTCAAACGAAACAGACCTTTACAGCATCGTTAAGGAAACAGGCTCGTATGGAGCTTACTTGAAGTACAAAACGGATGGGAACTTCTTAAAGATGTTTTTTTAAGTCATGAATTTTCAAAACAGAAGCACCGACTTACAAGCTTTACTTTGGTATTTGTTAATGCGTGGGGTGGTTTTTTGTCTGTTTTGTTTTTCTTCTCTTTTTAACGCATCACAATTCTGAGTGCCGCCCGCAACCTGCTTGACTACAGCACCCAGCTCTGACCTCCCCGGTTGGCTCGGGGAGGAGTAACCCCGAGCTCCCGCCGTGACTTTCCCCCCCCCGGAGGAGCAGCTGCCCGCGGTGCCGTCTCCCACCGAGCTGACACCATTTCGCGCTCCGAGCCGCGTACCGCTGCGCGGCCAACTCGCTTCCCACTTTCCCAGCCGTACGGGGAACGACCAGCGCTTCTCCAACGCCTCGCACCCTCCTCCCGCACAGCCGCTGACCCGGTGGCAGAGCAGGCCCGGCGGGAGGCGGGGAGGGCCGAGGGGGCGGAGAAGCGCCGCGGGCACAATGCGGGGCCCCGCCGCGGGAGAGGGGCCAAGCTGGAACCCGAGCGCCGCGGAGCAGCCGAAGGAAGCGCCCCGCCAGCCCCGTTACCTGCGCGCTCCTCCCCCGCGGGCAAGCTGCCGGCGTGCAGCCTTCACAACAAAGCCCGAGAGCCGCGGCCGCGGCAGGAGGAGGGCCGAACGCACCACCCCCACGAGCGCGCAGCGTGCAAGGGCCGGCGGTGGGGCCGCGGTCTGAGGGCGGGGCGCGGCGGCGCGGCGCGGCTGCGGGGGTGGCTGCGGACTCGGGCCGGGCGATGCAGGGCAGCCGGCGCCGCCGTGCGGGCGGGAGAGGTGACGCAAGGCTGAGGTCTGCGGGGGGGTGTGCGGACACAGCTGGCGTCTGGCCGGCCTGTCCTCCCGTGCACGGGAAAAAGTTGTTTTCTGTTGGAGGGGTTAGCGCTGGAGTGCTGCCCAGACTGGCGAAGAGCGGTATTCCCCGCCTATGGAGAGAGAAGCGCCGCCAAGGCGATGGAGAGCCGCGTCGGTTTGGGAAGAGGCCACGTGGAAATGGGATTAAGCCTGGAAGTGCTTTGGGAAACGTACATAATGGGAACGCTGCCTATTGAGGGCCGTAGGGAGGGAGAAGTGCAATATATGCGAGAATTTAACGGTGCCGGGATCAACAGATTTGTGTTTTAAATACAAGCAAATTTTTATGTAAACCTTTTTGTTGCAGTGACACCTCGTGCAGACAACAAACCAAACAGCTTCTTCATCTGGTCAACTCCAAATCTTCTTGACTGTCAAACAACTCCAACAAGTCTAGCTTAATACCAGATTTGCTATTTCTATTAAAGAAGCATTGCATAGTGAGACCTACATCCCTGCAATAAGTGAAGTTGTGATGTTTCAGCATCTGCTTTTTGTTGATACCAGACACTGGAGATCCTGCTGTATTTAATTGAGCATCAGTCTCAAAGAGCAAAACCACGGGAACTGATGCTAATGTTAATGAAACATTGAAGTTGAGATTTCAATTACTTAAATGTCAACACATTAGAAGTTCTTTAATTTTAGGAAGTTATTCTGCATTCCCACAGCAATTCCCACTCTGCTCTTACGTATATCAAAGAATTCAAGTTACTGTTTGTTTGCTGATGCATGCAAATTATCTAACTGAATATTATAGCTCAGTTTTATTGTTTTATTAACTCTTTTGTGTATATTTTGTGTGTTCTTGTGTTTTACAGTAACAATAAAAACTTCCCTCTTCTCTTTGTTCTGAATTGTCAAAGGCTGCATTTCATTTTATCCTTGGAACTTCCAGTCACTTAGCAACATTTGTTGCTAAACTATCATAACACACACACAGGCACTCTACAAACTAACTTATCAAAACAACACTTCAAGAGCAGACTTCATGGAAGCATTTTCCAAATATATTTTAATTAAGTTTTATTTAAGTTTTGACTTCCAAATCCTAAGGTACCTGCAATTGCTTCTCAAAACAGGAAAACGTTTGGAAAGGTTTGGCAAATGATTCTCAGAAAGGTGAATGGAGGGGATGAAAGTACTGCAGTTTCAAGACCTTATGCACAAAACCCACTTGTAGGCTGTTAAAGAATCCTCCCTTCTCAAATTGCACCTCATCACGGAACATTATGGTTGTTGTGTGTACACAGGTTATTTCTCAGTGAATGAGGTGGACTGCAGATCCCTTTTCTAACAGAAAAAGAACATGTTCCAACATTTGCTTTTAGTAGCTGTGCTGCAGGAATATATAATATGCACCTTGTTACAAATAATGCTTTTAAAAGACTCCAAACTGTTGAGTTGGTGAGATAACAGCAAACTGTGGTGGCGTTGTTTGTCTTCTTTTTTGTTTCTTTGTTTTTGTTTTCCCTGTAGTGAAGAAAAAAAATAAGGATGCAAAAACTATTTTTTTTTCCTGTTCTTTTGGAGATGTGCCAGCAAATCTAGTCTCCTAGTTTTATTTCCTAAAGATCAAGGTCATTAATGGAATCACTTTGAAGATAATGTGAAGGATTTCTGACTCTGAATAAATATTCTTGTCTGTGTTAACATTGTAAAGCTCTTAGCAAGACAACAAATTAAACCTGAGTTATCCATGTGAGTGGTTAACAACAATCTAGAATCTTATTCAAGAGACATTTCCTTTAAAATCTATGTTCTTAACTCTAATAAATGTACCATTGAGATCAATACTAGCTCTGTTCTTTCCTCAAAACCAATGTAACCATGCTTGTATGCATCTTCTCACTGTTAGAAAAGGACTGAGCTTGAGCTGAATGGACAAGCCTTCTGTTGGCTTAAGAAAAATTCACAGTATTAGGGGAAAAAATGGAGAGAACTATGAGAAACCACAGTGCTACTCAGAGTTAGGGAAGAGACAGCAAACAACAGACATGTTGACATGTATACCTATGCCCAACGTCCAGCCCTGAGAATAAACGCCCTTGGCTGCTCCACATCCACACAGGTGATCTGTCCTCCCCTCCAGCAGCGTAGCCCTGCCCACCCAAACTCCGGGGAAGAGCCTCTGGCCGATATCACTCCCTGCATTGTATCCTGGCATCTTCTGAAAAGCATCGGTTGGCCTTGGCAGGAATAACGCTGGGGACTGTCAGAACCAGGGCTGACTGTCACAGTGCTCAAGGCCAGGGAGCTTTAGCTGAGCCTGTGGGCTTGCATGACGCGTGCACCGTCCACCCCAAATCCCCGTGTCTTTTGACCACCAAAGAGCTGCAGCCATAGTCCAAAGGTTTTTACAGCACAGTGCGCTTCAGGAAGACGGTGAGCGAGCCAAATGGCACCGCCGACGCCTCCTGAAAGCGGAACAGTGAGCAACCGGTGGGCGTTCGCTGGGTCTCGGCCCCGGCGGGGACCGGGACAGCAGGAAGCGCGTGCAGCGCGGCACGAACCCCACAAAGCAGTAAATGCGCCGAGGCGGTGGAGGTGGCAGCCCCTCCGCCTGCGCGCTAACAGGACACGGCCGCTCTCCCAGCGGTGCACGGGGCTGCCGGGCTCGCGGCCGGCAGCGGCTCGGAGCCAGAGTTCAGCCGCCAGCCCGAGCCCCGCGCTGCGGCCGTCAGGGGCCGGCGGGCAGAGGGCAGGGCTCGGCTCTGCCCGGGCCGTGCCGCGGCCCCCCCGCAGATAACCGCGGCTCCCGCCTCCCCCCGGCTCCAGCGGGACGGCTCTGCCCCCCTCCCGCCCCGCGCGGCCCCAACCCCGGTTCGCAGCCGCTCTCCGGCAGCCGACCTCCTCGGCGCGGTCAGCATGGCTCGGCAGCGCGGCGGCTTTCTGCAGGAGGCCTCTCACCAGATCGCCGCCGGCGGCTCGGCGGGTAAGTGCACGCTCCCTTCGCGCGGGCCCACGGCGGGGAAGCTGCCCGTCCCGCCGCGCCGCGCTCCTACAGCGCACGAGGCGCTGGGGAACGGCTCCGCGAGGCGGCGGCTCCTCCCCCGGAGGGAGCGGGAAGGGCGGGCGGCCCGTCGGGCGGCGCGGGGGGTCTCGAGGGTCCCGCTGCCTTGGGCAGAGCTGCCGGATCGCTGCGGTAACTTCTGGAAGCGTGCTGCCCCCCCGGGGGCGGGCATCTGCGGCGTATCGCCCTCAGCACACTCCGCAGCCCCCCAGGCGATAAGGTCGCCGTTCAACCGCTCAGCCCTCGTGGGACGCGGTGGCGTGTAGGAAAAGTCCCTCTCGGTTTGCAGAAAAGGTCCCTCTCGGTTTGTAGGAAAGCTGTAGTTACGTTACGTTACTTGGACTGGGAAATACAAACGTCAAAGCCTCCCACATCACTCTGTGTAACAGCGAAAGCATTCCTGGGTCATTACTTTAGTCTGCTTCCCCTACGTAATAATAAATTTAAAGTGTTTGTGTTAGCTGTGGGGAGTGCTGATACCAGGTCCTGCTGTTTCAGCGTGTGTTTGTAAATCCTGTTGGCATCTCAGCTATGCATTGTGTTTTTAATTGGTTTTTAGTATCGCTTTCAGTCAGCATGCTGTTTGCCATGTTATGTTTTAACGGAGAGAGGAAAACTGTGTTTTATGTATTGTTTTGATGGTGTTGTGCTTCTTTTTTGGGGGGGGATTTAGGTTGGACGTCAGGGGGAAATTCTTTACAGAGAGAGTGGTGAGGTACTGGAACAGGCTGCCCAGAGAGGTTGTGGATGCCCCGTCCCTGGAGGTGTTCAAGGCCAGATTAGATGGGGCCCTCGGCAGCCTGGTCTAGCATTAGATGAGGAGGTTGGTGGCCCTGCGTGTGGCAGGGGGGTTGGAGATTCATGATCTTTGAGGTCCCTTCAAACCCTGGCCATTCTGTGATTCTGTGATTCTGTTTTTTGTGCCCCTGACTCTGTAGTCCTTCATGTTCAGCCCTCAGCTTTGACAAAGAGATGTCAGAACAGAGCTGTGCTGTCCTGGCCCTTTCCATGTGCTGGATTTACACAGCTCTTCTGAGGCTCTGGAAATCCTAAAATGTTTTCAGGCTCTGCTTGATACCCACCCCCTCTTTCCCCATGGAAGAAGAAGGATTTAATCAGTGCCAGCCTGTTGAAGGCTCTTTAAAACCTGATGAAATACCAAGATGTTTTGGCAGCAGTTGTTCTGCAAGATGACATATTTCTTTGCCCATAGCTGAGGGTCTGTATGTAACTGATTCAGACTGATTGATTTCCGTACTCTAAAGTCAGTCTGCTTTCTTTAATGAAATTGCTCTTGTTTGCAGAAGGATAGTTTGGCTAACCTAATGAAAATTGTCACAGAGCTGAAGGGAGAGTCTTAGCGAAGGACTGTAATTGGAAAACAGAAGTATGTGTGAGGGTGGTGTAGGGAGGAGGTGGACTAAAAACTCTGCTCATCCAGCAGGCATAAATGTTAAGGTGAGCGCCTTTCAAGGAGAGATCTAATCTGCACCTAACACTTTTTAAAGTATAATAAGGAAAGTCTATTGCATTTAATCCAGAGGCATACTGCTAAAGTGCTTGCAACAATTTGTGTGGTCTCTTGTCAGGCATGTTCCTTAACTCCATCACTGACCTTGAATCTGTGCAGAGATCTCTACTCATTGGGTTTGAATAAATAAGGACTGTTCCTTAAATCCTTAAATAACAGCAGCATCATGACAGAGGAGTTTTCAGGTATTGGAGGGAAATGGATGAAACTTGAATACTAGCACTCATGACACATGCTTAGAAACTCAGTGGAATTCTGGTGATTTATAGAGAAGATAGGAGAGGAAGGCCTTAGCTTTGAGGTCTTCAGTCCAATTGTTAAATTTCAGGCAAGTGTGGATCCAACAGGGAGAAGATGAAAGCAGAAAGGAAAGGATGGTGGGTGTGAATTGCTGAGAGTGCACTTAGTATTTCATCCACGCAGGGGACTTGGTTTCCTGAATTCAGTTTTCCAGTATCACTTTTTGACAACCCATATTGCTTTTGGCTGCCTCTGCAGAAGGACATGGGGTTTTTGTAGGCCCTTTGTTGTATTTACTAGTGTGCAAATACCACAAATACCATAGGGTGTCTGTGCTACCTGTACCACAGCCTGGTATTTAGTGGGAAACTGGAAAAAAAAATCATGATGTGAATGAATGCATAGATTTTATGAAGTTCTGATCATCTTATCTCATGCAGTTAAGCAAAAGGAGCGTGGGAAGGAAGCTCTAAGAAAGTTGCCCTACTTTGGTGTGTTTGTCAAAACAGTGGTAGGAAAGTAGCAAGGTAAGTCAGAGAACAAACTGTACACCAGAGTGGGTGTAATGAATGTCTGCATAAGTAAAATGAGTAGTTAGCATCTGCATGTCTGATGCAAAAGGATCTGATAAGATGTGGTTTTGCTAAGTCAAGTGGAAAATGATTAGAGATAAGTCTAAGCTGTCAGAACAGGAAGAAAGGGATTTTTGGAGCTTTATGGAAGGGCCAGGACTTGTTCATGTACTTGATAAAGAGAGAGGAAGGGGGAAAAGAAATCAAGCTTGACACCTAGTCTACAAGCCTGATAGAATGGAAGATACTGGCATGCTGAAGTAAAGAGAAATGCAAGCATTTGGTGTTGTAAAAGAGAAGACTTTAGCATACTGTTGTTGTGTGTTTCAGACATTTCTGAGTTAAAGATAAACTCAGTCAGTGCTCTGATACCACTGAACTGTAACACTCAGGCATGAACAGAATCTCAGACCTTCTTGATGTCTATGGCAAAGAGTGCATCTGCTTCTGTGGAGTTCGGAGTTTGACATCATGTTAGGCTGAAAGCACTGAGGGTGACCTCAGATCTTAAATATGAAGTTTTACTTAGTCTTGATGTATGTTCTTCCTGCTGGTTTTCAGTTTGCTCTCATCTTTTGGATTCCTGGATTGATCAACTATAATAGAGAATAATTTGATTTTGTTTGCTTGCCCTGGTGTATAGAGTTGAGCAGGAGTTTGACTGAAATGCAATTGGGGCACATGATTGCTAAGTTTTGCTCCTTCCAGTGTAGTGAATTGATGGTGTACTCCTTTTCTCTTGTGGGTAATTAGTACACTAAGGCACGTGTGGAAAACTTACAGGAAAAAATAAACAGAAAATAAACCCTTTAAACTGTAAAAATCATTGTGAAAAAAAAAAAATCATTGTTTTATATTTAGGAAGGCAAAATGGTTATTTCAGCAACCCTGTACATGCAGAGTTAAAATAATGGGAAGAATAATTTATTTCTCTGTTTCATAAGGATCAGAAACTGATTATTTTTTTCTGCCAGTATAGAAGAGGCAGAAATTAAAGCGATAAATAGTCTTGCATGCAAAATCAACGGAGATTTCATTCCATAGGAAAAGGAATCAAATACTGCTAGTTACGTTCTGTGATACCTGAGTAGGTTTGCCAAGACATTCAGAGAGAAGGCTCTTGAGTCGTTTTGAAAGATTGAGTGAAATGTCATCTTAAACAATTGCATAGATGACCATTGGCTGAGTGAAGTGGCTGAATTTGGCTGAAGGTTTTGAATTTGGCTACCCTGAATGTTTTAGCATGTTACTGCTTGGTATAGGTGTGTGTTCATTTTTATTTTTAAATGGTAATAAGATTGCAGATGGAAACAGTTAGCTAAAACCACAGGTAATGTAAATACAAAGTAAATACAACTGAGATTTTATGTTCATTTCTTTTGCTTCCATTCACCTTCACATAAACATGATTATCATCTTTAATTTTGAAATAAAAATGTTGAAAGGTTTATTTACTATACGTAGTAGGTGATAAATACAAAAGATTGTCTTTTAAATCTGTAATATTTATCTCATCTTTAAATACTTTCCTACTATAATTCAGTCTTTTTAGTTTCCTAATTCTGTTTAATAAACGATTATGAACTATTGGCTTTCTATTATTGCCTAATGAATATGAGAAAGTCAGAATGAGCTGTTTCTGTGCTTTTTTTGTTTGTTTGTTTTTAATAAAGGTATTTACTTTCTGTGTAAGAATAACTGTAGCTGGTCTTTTTTTTCCCCCTCATTCTCCATATCTTCATGAAACAGCAGGATTTCTGCCTGTCTAGACTTCTGGGCTTTGATTTTTTTGGAAAGAGTTAGGTTTCCAGCAGCATTGAAATCTAATAGGATTTGGGAGTCTAATTCTCTTAAGCTCCTTTGAAAGTCCAAACCTTGTCTTTTGAGAGGTGTTTTATTTCAAGAGTAAGCAGAGTTGATTATCCTGGATTGCAGCAACTCCTTTGAACCAGATCTATAACAGGAAAACCAATCATCAGAGTAAGAGTGTTGGATGCAATATTAAAAGCAGTTTTTGGTCCTCCTATCACTAGAGGCATTAAGCTGGCAAAAATCACTGCAAGGTATGCCAGCCATCATAGTCTGTGAAACACCTGAGGTTGTTTGGCCTATACAAAGGGGAGAAGGAGCATAATGGAAGAATAGGAAGCACTTTCAAGTAGCAGGAAAATTTGGCTAATTCTCCACTCCCCCCCACCCTCCCCCAGGTGTTGCCTTGATTATTTTGCTGACTCTTTTCTTTTTCTCCTTTCTTTCTTTTCCTCCTTTCTTTCTTTTCCTCCTTTCTTTCTTTTCCTCCTTTCTTTCTTTTCCTCCTCTCTTTCTTTTCCTCCTCTCTTTCTTTTCCTCCTCTCTTTCTTTTCCTCCTCTCTTTCTTTTTCTCCTTTCTTTCTTTTTCTCCTTTCTTTCTTTTTCTCCTTTCTTTCTTTTTCTCCTTTCTTTGCAACTAAATTTAGGATGACCATTTTGTGTCCTCCTCATTGCTTTTTTCTTGTTTTTATGTCATACTCTTGGCATTCACATATTACTAAAATAATCACTTAATGCTCAGAGGTAGTTTCAGATAGCTAAGTATAAAG